TTGTTGCAATCTATCTGGTTGTCCAGATTTAGAAGGAGTAAACAATGCTGATTTTCTGACGGAGGTAAGCTGTTTTGCCCACTTTTTTTGAAAATTTTGTTGAAAGCACAAGTGGGTGATAGCAAAGACGACAGGCCAGAATAAGCACCAAAACAAGAAATGTAAGAGTTTATGTTATATAGAATAGTATATTTATCCAAGCTTTTATCCTTGCACTTACTCTGATATAACTTGACAAAAACTTTCTTGGTTGTCACCAAAGCTACTTGTTCGATAGCTTCATAGACTTCTACCAGAGAGCCAAACCTACAAGAAGCTGTCTTTTTCAACTCTATTTCATAGCGCTTACATGCAATCTGAAACTTTTGAACCCAGATACTATTTGGCAAAGTTTTGTTATGAAAAAACATACTAACTACACAATATTCATAGATTGGTATTAGTGAAATTTTGGTGCGAGGGATCGTTGGAAAGAGTTGAATGAAGTTAAATTAATTTAAATCAATATTAATTGTTATAAATAGATACAAACAGATACAACCCAAATTCTCTGAATATTACTTTAGATATTCCTTTGTGACTTTTCTTTCTTTGATTGATAATCGCTTTAATTCAATATTCTTTTCTTTTCTTTTTATTATTTGTCTTCACTCTTCTTTTTTAAATTTGAGAAACAGAATCCAGTCTAGGTTCCGGTGTTCTAGCGCCTTTTTGTTTTTTTTTTCTTTTTCACTTGATTTTGCTTATTATTGCTTATTTTCAGATTCAATTGTTTTCTTTTATCTTTTTATTCTTTTTATTTCTTCTTTCGCTTCTTATTCATTTTATTCACTTAGTTTACTTTTATTTCCTTTTTCTATTCTCTTATTTGCTTTTTTTTTTATTTACTTTCACTTAAGTCACTTTTTTTTGCTTTTTTACTTTCGTTTACTTTTATTTTTTTACCTTTTAACCATTCTTATTCGCTTTTCTTCTCTTTATCTTGTTTTTCATTTGCTATCTTACTTTTTTCCTCTTTTCTTTTTCTCAGTCTTTATTTTTTTCTTTCTTTTTTTATTTCTATTTTTTCAAAATGCATTGACAATGCCCTTATTGTCTTTGTGATTTTTCAAAACCTAACAACTTAACTCAATATATTTCTCAAAATCATCCTTATCCTAATGATACGGTAAGTCAAAATGATCCTGCCAAGCAAGTAGATACTAGCATTTAGACTTTACCAGATTATAGTTCTAGTTACGATTCTTATACAGATAAATCTTCTATAATATATAGAGTAAATTAGTAATAATTTTATAATAAAGTTTAAAATGATAATTAATGATTATACTTAAATAAGAAAAAAGTTATGTCAGATTCTGTATTAGATTCTTTTATGCAGACAGAAAATGACTATGATAAAAATTATATGACTTAAGAGGTTAGTTGTGTTATAAATGCTATTATAAGTTATAAATGTTATATAATAATTATATATTAGAATGAAGACATATCAGTATCACATAATTCTAATATGAAAACAGAGCATCTTTTAGCATGTTCTGAGTCTTCTTTTATACCTATCAAAATTGATCCAGAAACCACAAAGGTGCTTCACTCAATGATACAATCCATAACCTTCTATATCTACATGAAGTTAATTGGCCCAACAATGCATATCATGAATTTATGGAAATTATCAGTAAATATCAACTGTCTAATTTGGTTGGTGATACTTTTATAAAATTTTTCAATAAGCATTCAAACCTGGATGTTTCGCCACTCCCTCCATCAACAAAGTTTGGAAAGAAATTTCTTGATAATTCAACTATCCCTTATATGATATTCAAAGAAATTTTTATTAGAACATTTCAAGACGTTGAATATACATTTTACTATAGATCATTAATAAAACAATAAAGTTTTTATTAATAATCGATAGTATAAATCAACAATTAGAGATTAAGTTTGAAAATAAAAGAGAAATAAGAAATAATGTGGAGTGCTGTATATTTGAAGAGCAATATAATTGCCTCTGGTAGAAACATGAAGAATCGTCATTACTTCTTGGTCAATGATTACTATTGATAATCCTTTATTCTGATACAATGACCCTAGATCATATGGGGAAATCTTCCAGACACCCCATATTTTTATCCTTAGGTATTATTAAAGTTTAGAATCAGTTTTATTTTCATATTATAATTAGGGATTGGAATCAGTTAGTCAACTAAAAAATTGTTATAGCAAGCTACTATGTTTAGCGACTAAACATAGTAGTTTGCTATAAAAATTTTTTAGTTGACTAAACTGATTCTAATCCCTAATTATAATATCAGTTTTAATCAGTTTAAACTTAAAAAAATAAAATCAATTTCAAACTTTAGGTAACATTCCCAACTCCTAGCGAAACAAGCCAGAATCTAAAGCTTTAATCAGATACCTATCTATCTTAAAAGCTAAAGATTCTACAACAAAGAATTCAAAAGAGTTTTAAAAATTACAAAGAAAAGTCTTTCATGAATGCTTAAAGATTTTACTTGCGCCTATTGTTGATGGTCCAGAGCTTACTTTTGTTGTTTATGGTAACTTAGTAATATTTGTTCTACAAATTTCAATGTTATTAGCTGACTTGCTTGAGGCCAGTAAAATGGCTAACGTTTACTAGTCTTCTGCATCAAGATGCCCTTGTTATTCATGTTTAGTATCAAGAGATGATTTGAATAATATTAACTTGAATAATATATCGTCAAGAACACATAACTATATGAAACAAGTAATAGAGGATGGCAAAGAAAATTATTATTTAATTCATCCTGAAACAAATGCATTCTGGGAAATAAGGTATAAATTAAAGCATATGTGCGGATTTGATTCAAACCCCAAAATTAAGTAGATCATCCCCTAAATTTATATTTTAATATTATTATATATATTTGTATAATGATAACAATAATTTGTTTGTAACAATAATTTTTTTAATTTGCACTATGAAAGAAGAAAGCAATTATCCTCAAAGTCCACTTATTAAACTTTTTGATAAAAACAGAACATTTTATTATGAGATTATTAAAGAAGAAACATATCCACTTCCTAATCAATGTTATTATACAAAAAATCCTAAATATCGAATTCCTAATAATTATGTAATTAAAACATATCATGGTAAAGCCAAACATCTTGTAGAATGTGCTATTCAATATATAAACAAAAAACCACTATCTACTATTCGGTTTGGAGCTAATTTAAAAATACAAATACAGTCTTCTAAAAGTGCATCTAATGTTGCATGTTAATATCTTGAAGTAATACTATATTTTATTTTAAAAGTATTTATTATTAAATATAGATATTAATTTTTATTTTTAATTATTTAATAGAAATTAAATAAAACAAAAGTTCAGATAATATGAAAAAATACAATAAATCAAGAATATCTAGTTCTTTATTATTTGGTTTAACCTTAACTAGTGTAGAAAATATACGCAAAACTTTATCACTTGACTATAATCATCAAATTTATTCTTTTAAAAAACTTAGTATTTCAACACAGCATCATAAAATATTAAAAGTAGCTCAACAAGTTTTAAATACAGTTAAAAAAAAAAAAAGAAAATTTTTATTCTGATGATCATATAAATATTAAACAAGTCCAGCTTGAAATTGGAGAAGAACAATTTGATATTAGTTTTGGAAAGTTTGATGAAAAAAGTGAAAAAGAACGGAAAGAAGCAATTGTAAAATCATTAGATTGTGGTCGAATTACAAGAGAAGCATATCGATCATTAGCACGAATCGAGTATGATATACCACGTGAAGGAGCTATATCAGAAATAAAACAAAAAATAAATTTAGAAATGAAAAAAAAAATTCCACTATCGCTTGTAAATATATTACAGCCAACTATATTTGAACCAATTACCGATACTTCAGAAATTACTGATATAAATTTTATTACAAATATGTTTGAATCTATTGGAATATGAGGACAATGTCGTATTACAGATATTTTGAATTATATTATACCTTTTTATATTAACAAAGGTATTTTAATTCCAAAAAAATCAACTTTACATATTCATATTTCGGGGGATGGCCGAAATGTAGGGTGCAAAGTTAAGCACGTAATGGTAACAATGGCATTGTTAAATGATCTAGCAGGATTGCAAAAACCGGACAACCACTATATACTTGTATTATATCCAGGTTCAGAATCATATGATTCATTAAATAATGCACTTGCTCCATTAATTTCAGATCTTTATTTACTACATGAAAAAAATTTTCAACAAATCGATGGTACCCAGTGGCCAGTCAAACTTTATTTTAGCTCAGATTGGAAATTTTTAGCAACATGTCTTGGAATGAAAGCTGCAAATGCTAAATATTTTTGTCCGTGGTGCGATTGTTCTAAAGAGAATATTAATAGTATAGACAAAAAAATTACTAAATCAATAGAAACAATTAAAATGAATTATTCTCAAATGAATGGGTATTTAAAAAAGGCGAAAATAGAATCTGTGCTCGGTTTATAGTCACATGATGAAGATCGTGTAATATTCAATGAACATATGCATATTTATGCACGTCTATGCATATACTGATAACCGATATATAATTTACTTTTATCAATCTCTTTTTATACATATAACACCACGAAGCTAAAGACAGTATATACGTACGTATAATATTTGACCCATTAACTATATATAGATTTACCTTTAATTGTTATGAAATTTTATAAAGTTTATTGTTTTGCATTAACTATTAAACTAGTTTTATAAAATTTTATATAAATCCCGGGTAATCTAAGAAAAATTGCTTTTTTTTTGCAGTAAATAAGGATCTAATTTATAAATTTAAGTATTTGGATACATCGAGAAACCAATTTCAATTTGATAAAAGTTTTCTTTGAAAAAAAGCAGGATTTTTTGTAAAAATTAATTCAAGAATAATGATCTTTAAAAATTATTTTCTACATAGAATAATAATTTTTTTTTGTTACGTAGTGATCATTATATCTAATACCCATTGGGTCGTATTTCTTTCAAAGCTTGCTGTAAGTCATGTGGACGTTTGACACGTGTTCTCTTTGATCGCGCAGGCAAAATGAACCGATTTGGTTCTTCAATTTCATGCAAATAATTTTCTCTATTTTTCTTTGGTCGCCCTTGTGGCATTTTTTTAAGTTCACGAGTTGATCCCTTTTTGCGCCTAGTAGCTGCAGCAACTTGTACTTTAATTCTTTTACCTCCACGCTGATAAATATTGCCATTAACTCGGCCTGCATTCCAATCGCAGGTTTCAAGAAAAGAAGCTACTGCTGGACGAATGTGGGTATCTTGAGCAGACCGATGTTTTTTGTAGCTTCTGACAAATTTACATACACCTTTATCCAATGCGGGATCCTTTTCCTCAAGAAGACTTTCCAAATCACGGCTAAACCAACGTAATTCATTTATTGCCAATTGATGGTGATTGAGATCATTTTCGCCCCCATTATCTTGATTCTCAGTATCACTTTCACTATTATTTAAAGGCGAAAAGGGCACAGATTCAGGAAGTATATTCTCATTGCCCAGATCATTGTATTCGTTATAATTTTCATCACTAACTAAATTATTATCAACATTTGTAAAAGATATAGACGCAGATTCTACTGTTGTGTGTATAAACTCTTGATCATGTTGTGCTTGATGAAGATTGGTATAGAAATTAATCTCTTTGCATTTTTCGCCCAATGCCAGATAAGCATATTGGTATCTACTACTTAATGACATTGTAGGTATTTGGTTTAGGCCGCAAACATTATAGTGGAATGCTATTGAATTTTGGTGTTTACAAGGCGCTCCCACCTCATTACACTCACAAATTCCAAGTCGCATGTCTACAACATACCATACATCTTTATTTTCACTACTTCTATGCTTAAAAACCATCGAATCAGAGCTTACTATCTCAATGTCTTCTTTTGGTCCAACTTTCCAGCCTGAGAGTCGAAAACGGAGTGCGATAAAACCATCCAACTTATTATGAGCTACTGCTAGCAATTTGCGGGTATAGTAAAGATCCATTGTACTAATAATAAAATTGAAAATTTGAACCAAGTTATATGCTTGTATACGTTTGAAGACAATATCTTTAATGATCCGAATCCCAGCCTCTGCGAAATTATTCGTATTATTATTTCGAATTGGCAATTGGTGATGAAATACAATGGCCCACTCTTTACGCCTGTTCCACACAACTTTGAAATACTTTTGAAATTGAGAATATTTAATATATGTTTCACTAGTTATAAGTGACATATATTCTCTATATAATATGGTCTCAGTCTTAGAAAAAACAATCCTTTTTAAATGCTCTATTAGAGTAACATGATCAACCATACTAATTCCATGTTTGCCATCCCATAGCCATCTCCATGCCGCTTGCAAAAAATGAAAAACGCATAAGAGCAAAGTTGCCTTTTCCCAAGTACAATGTAATGCATTTCTCTCTGCATTACAATCATCAGTCATAATAACTTGTGGCCCGGTTGTAGGCCCACGCCCACCAAATGCACCTAATGGCAACATATTTTTCAACGCACCCAAAGCTTTTGTGAAGGTTTGAGTTGTTTCATCTGAAGTAAGTATTACAGCTAAAGGTAACCCTCCAACTGGTGTACTGGTTGAAATGATAGTTAATGGCGTGTTAAGAACGTCAAGACTGGCTGTTGTATCCATATATATTAATTCGCTAGCTTGCTGTAAATTATGGCAGCGTTTCATTAGATTTGTTAGAATGATGAGAATAAATGGTTGACCGGGATCAGTCCCTACTGGAGCAATGTAAGGTTGCATCCAGGCATCTCCTTTTTTACTGTTATTAAATTTTGTAATCTCCTCAGCAAAACGATCAAACATCTCCTTCCCGTTTTTCGCACCAACGGATATATTTAAAAATTTTTCATGAAGGTAATAGACATCATACTTGTATGGGCAAATCGCCCTATCTGCTAGAATTTCCTCATTGTTTTCGTATTTTAGCTGTATTTCTTCTAAATATGTGTGGTATGCACTAGCAGGGCTATGCCCAACATGAAAAAGCTCAAAAAATGCCTTTTTTGTCTCATCTGAGATAGAATGAAAGCCCGTAACATGACCAGATACAAGAGGATAATTATGATGAAATAACATGGATACTATGCATGGATGAGTATTAAACTTGTTTTGTAGCTGTAAACTAAGTGTCGCTAGACAATTAGTGTCTCTTATACGTGTACTAATTGTTTTTTTATTTTCCACTGTTTCAGCATTTAGATTATTACATTTCTTTCCTTGTTTTAGTTTTACCATATGACTGTGGATGCAGTGAAAACGTTTAGACAAAAGAAAACGTACACCCTTAAGTAGTCGTCCTTGGGTTTCACGCATAGTTACTTTGTGTAAGTCAGTAAACTTGTCGAACCACATCATGGTACTTTCAACTGTACGAGTATTTATGCGAAAGTTTAACTTAAACGGTTCTGTTTGTGCGCCCAAAAAACTATAAGGTTGAACTGCTTCAAAAGAATCAACAACATAATTATAATTTTGGGGTAAAGCATTATGCAGAATAGTAAGATGAGCTGGTGTGATATTAAGAGTAGGTGATATCTCAATATTAGGTATATTCGTTTTAGTTGTGTTTAATATCAAGCTTAACGCCATTTTTTAAAGGAAAATTTTTGTAAGAAAATGCTACTCAAGAAAGAGTTATAAGAACGTTTACCAAACAATTGTTTTTTTTTTTTTAAAAAAAAAAAAAAAAAAAATAGATTTAAAAGATTTATGATGCAATTATTAGATAAAAATGCAGCGATTGTAAGATTGTGTAAGTCTGAGTTTAAAATTCAAGGTTTCACTATTTAAGTGCAGTATTTGTATGGTAGATAATTTTTTTATTGAAAGACAAATTTATTAATGAATTTTGTGATCACCAATTATCACGAATATGAATAACGGCCAGTCGAGATAGGATTATCAACGTCTCAACATAAAGGTAAGGGTTTAGTCGATTTTGCTAGTCTTTTATTTGAAGCCAAAGCAAAAGAAGTAACTATTTGTCTTTATTTTCGCTTATATACTAAATTTAACTACGAATCAATTACATCATTATATAATTAATCACATGCACTACCTTTGATTCTTATTAATTAACTATTCTTCATGTATCACATTATATTTTATTACATCATTAATTACCCCATGATCTCTTCTTATACTTCTGATCAGATAATTATCCAGAATCTTAACACTTAAGACTAGCAAGAAGATTATTTTACTATTTATTTTTTTATTTTATTTTTTAGATAGGTCAACTAACTACTCTTCATATTTTTCAATCATTACGCCACATACAAACGTATTCTAAGTACCGATTTCTGTCATCAAACTGACTTTGACCATGATAAATAAACGAATATTTATTGTTGGAATTAATGTCAAGATAAGTATTTCATTTTACAAATATAACCTTGTTCTATATGTATTTTTTATACTAACAGGTTTTACTTATATTGTTTAGCTTATCTTAATTACTTTAATCATTATTGTATATAATTCTCAGTAGGACAGGAACTTTTTTTACAAGTATCCTTTAAAAATCTTTGATATGATATGCAACTTTTCCAAATATTTAAATTCTTTCAGTGTTTTTTTCGCATGTAATCTAAAAGAATATTGTAATTAAACCATAATGTCATTATTAATAATTTTACTGTTAATTGTAAGATGCAGGTAAATGTTAGATTATTTAGAAATTTGGGTCAGAACGACTTTAATTATTTGAAATTCGGGTCAGACCGGGTTTAATTATTTAGAAATTTGGGTCAGAACGACTTTAATTATTTAGAAATTTGGGTCAGAACGACTTTAATTATTTAGAAATTCGGGTCAGAACGACTTTAATTATTTAGCAATTCAGGTCAGAACAACTTTAATTATTTTTGACTATGCTATTATTGATTGTTAAAGTGATGTATTTTTAGCTTGAATTAATGGATAATTTAAGGCTTTGGGTTTACTTTTTCACTTTGGTCTAATAGTTTATACTGTAGTTTATTTAAAAAAAAAGGGAAAAAAATATTTTGAAATCAACTATGTTTAAAGTTTCATTTATGAAAAGAAACAATGACCATAGTATTTATTTAACTTGTTACTTGCTATAGTAAACGTACTGTACATTCGTACTTTATATAAAAATTTATGGTTCTACGTTTGTGTGTGTTTTAAGACTTCTAATCAGCAGCATTTATTTGATTTTGTCATGATTCTGAATTTTAAAAAGTAATAATTTATTTTATCAAAATAATAAGTACGCTATCACAGAGATAATGCTCTAATCTTTATCATTACGTATAAGTAAAAATGTCCCGCTATTATATATACGTATACAGTAATGAATACTGTATATATATTTAGTGCATAGACGTGCATAAATATGCATATGTTCATTGAATATTACACGATCTTCGTCATGTGACTATAAACCGAGCACAGATTCTATTTTCGCTTAAAAAAGCCTTTATTTTATATGATACCTATTTGTAACTGGGTTTGCGATGAACTACATATTCTTTTAAGAATAACTGATCGACTATGGGAATTAATGTTATCCGATCTTAGTCGAGAACAAGTTGACGAAACAATTTGGCAATCAAAAATTTTAAATGAAATGAAAAGACTTAATGTAACTTATCAGTTTTGGCACGAAAACAATAATCTTTCATATACTTCACTTATAGGGCCTGATAAGTTGAAGGTTTTACAAAATTTTAATCTTACAGCAATTTTTCAATCTAATAGTCGGGCTACACAAATTCGAAATCTTTGGAATCAATTTTATGAGTTATATAGTTTGATGCAAGACAACAAAACTACGGGTAGAATGTTTTATGAAAAAGCACAAAATTGGTTAATGTCTTTTCTAGCCCCATCTCAAGGTCAACCTAATAAAAGTAACTTTGTTCGTGAAATGTATCGTATGCAAGACATCACACCTTATATTCATGTTCTAGTAAACCATGTACATAAATTTTTGGATATTCATTATGATTTTGGATTAGTTGCGTTCTCTTGCTCAGCAATCGAAAAAAAAAATTACTTACAAGTTTGTCAGTATTTTCAAAACATGCTTAAAGATGGAGGTCACGAGAATTCACGAAAATCAGCTATTTTGAAAATTTTAGAACATGAGAATCGGCAACTTTACTTCATCAGTAATGATACTCTAAATTTTTTCAAGAAATCTAAAAAATATAGATTAGAATCTAAATAATTGACAGGCAAGAATAATAATAACTTTGCAATTAATTCAAATTTAACATCTTAAATTTACTTATTAATCACAAACACTTTGTATTCACTTTTGCCACTCTATTAGTTCAAGAAACTGCTCTTAAATAGAAGTCATAGATATTATTTTCATTTTATTACAATTTTATAATTTCAAATTATTTTGCTATCACAATAAAACTCCATCTTATTGCTTTAAATAAATATTCCCAATGCCTTTTTTAAGCATTTACTGTATCAATATTGGTATGTTTTTTAACGATCATTTTAATTTTTCTCTTATTTGGAATATAGCGGCTATTAATTTTTTTTTTTAATATTTATATCTTTGTAGTTTTACGAATAGTTATGAAAAAACTACACTGACATTTTTATGAGCCACAAAACTATTAGACTTACTAGATCACTACTTTATAAGTTTATTAAACTTAAGTACGAATCATAAATTTTAGGGAACTCAAAATATATTCACTCTCGCACTTACATTAATTAACATTCATCAGTTTTCCTAACTTATGAAGGTAAACTATGCATCTGAGATCTATTTCTTCAAATTCTACAGCAAATCAGAAATATCGATATTCGTAGCTTTTAATTATTATCATATTTATTATTTTTTAATATTAGGGGTTATAAATGGATTTTGTAAATGGACAAGCAACAATCACGACAATGATCAATTAATTCAACAAACAATTTAATGCATCGACGTTTAAAGACATCATTGAATGGATACCTTTTAGCAAATTTACAAATATGAAGTATCTTGTTGAAGGAGGCTTTGGCATCATTTTTAAGGCAGTATGGATTGACGGACATATTATAAGATTTGATTATCAAAATATGTATGGAAACGAACGGCGCAGGTGGATGTTTGTTTAAAGGGCTTTGATAATTCTAAAGATATAAAACAAGAATTTTTAGAAGAAGTAAGCATTATAATTTATTATTAAAGTGTGATAATCTTATTTATTCTAATTCATATTTTAGGTTAAAAATCAGCATAATCATGGGGGCAATTCAGCAATTGCGATTTATGGAATAACCAAGAACCAAAAAGATGTTAACTACTGGAGTACGCAAAGCAGAGAAGTCTTAGAAAATTATTAGATAGTAAAGATGGTGAATTAGATTGGGCTTCTAAAGTAGCCAATTTATATTATATAGCTAGAAGACTTAATACAATTTACAAAGCCAACCTAGTGCATGAAGATTTTCATTCCGGAAATATAGTTAATCAAAATATGTTTAGCTCTTATATTACTGATTTTGGCTTATGTAAGCCAGTGTTACATGATTCAATTCTAAAGCACTTCTTGGTGTGCTTTCCATGTGTACACAGAAAGGAATACACTCAATAATCAGATATTTATTCTTTCGGAATACTTATGTCAGAAGTTTTTACTGGATATCCTCCATACCATGATATTCCACATGACAAAGATCTAGCAACACATATTTGTCTGGGTTACAGACCTAAAATTAGATGCGAAGTTCCTCAATTACTTTTAGATCTGCTGAGTAAGTGCTTAGATGCAGATCCTCAAAACTGACCAACTGCTAATAAATTAGCCAATACTAGTGTTTGGCAAAATCGAATAAAACTTGATTTTCGAGTTTTACTCGATTTTGCCAAGCATTAGTTATTGTGAATATGGAATTAGTTAAAAACAATTGAAATTTACAGGCACGAGTGATTCGGACGGAAGGTTCTGGCTTGGCTATTGTAAGTATAAAATTTGAATTAGAAAGGATGAAATAAAGCTTTCATTTATTATCGAAATTTACAGGTATGAATAATTCGGACAAAGGTTTCTGGCTTGGCTATCATAATTGGATGAAAATAAAGCATTCATTTATTATCAAAATTTACAGATATGAATGATTCGGACTGTAGGTATTGTGAATATGAAATTAGATGAAAATAAGCCGTTCATTTATTATTGAATTTACAGATATGAATGATTCAGGCAGCTTGGTTATTGTGAGTATGGAATTGGAATTAGGAAGAATGAAATAAGGCTTTCATTTATATTCAAATTTGCAGGTATGAATAAAAATAAGGCATTCATTTATTATCGAAATTGATAGGTATGAATGAATCATACAAAGGATTCTAGTTGCTTATTGTGAATGAAATTAGATGACAATAAGGAATTCATTTATCATCGAAATTTACAGGTATGAACGATTTGGACGGCTTGGTTATTATGATTATGGATTAGATGAAAATAAGGCGTTAATTTATTATTGAAAATTTACAGGTATGATCGATTCGGTTGGAAGGTTCTGACTTGGTTATTACAAAATCGTGATTAGGATGAAAATGAGGCATTCATTTATTGTCAAATTTTATATGAATGATTTTGATTGGTTTGGTTATTATAAATATGAGATTGGATGAAAGACATTTAGTTAATATCGAAATTTACAGGCATGAGTGATTTGAACGGAGGATTCTGGCTTGATTATTGTTATGAATATACGAATTCAACCTAGCCACTTATACATAGCAGATTATTAATTTTGTTTAACTATAAAATTTTTAAATTCTTTCGAATAAATTAAGATATATGTAATCAATAATTTAAAGGTTGTTTGTTAATTTACTTTATTATTTTAATAAATATATTTAATCATATTATAAACACTATAAACAGCACTATTTACATGATTTAAAGTTAACATAATTATAGATTTTATTTAATTTGTATATTCAAAATTGATATTGATCTAAAAAAAAATGAATTTTAAGTGTTCCTGCTTTATGTACCTGATTCGCCTTATCTTTAAATCCAATTACTCGCCATTCTACAGTCATTTCTCCATTGGGAGATAATTTTATTTTTTTTTTTTGCTGTTGTAATTTGTTGTTTGTCTCTAATATATTTTGTTTTTCTGTAGAATAAAGTCGAACAAAACTACATTGACCATTGCCATAGTCGCATTTATACCATTGATCATTGTTAAATATTAACCCAATTGTTTCAACAGCATCTTCTCCTCCAAAATTACAACGATAAAAGGAACCACATAGTGAATAGCGTGTAATATAAGGTCCAAATATACCCACAAAAGCATTTTCACTACAATGCATTGAAAACACTTGTTCCCCAACAGCACGGTAATGATTTTTGAGTTTTTTTTGCAATTCTTTAATTATAGCATTTCTTAAATGATTGAGTTCTGATTCGGCTATTTGTTGAATGTGATTTGGTAATAGATTATATGATGCATGTTTTAATGTCTCGTGTCGCTGCAATCTAGAATGATTCTTGTATTCTTTAGATCGTGTACATATAGTACAGTAAAATCTTAAAGAATTATAAACCGTAGTCATCAAATATAACTAAAAATTATTCAAATTATATTTTAATTCATAAAAAAAACAATTTAAAGTTTCAAATAAGCAAAGTAGTTATTTACAACTGAAATTGTATAGTTCTATACGTCTTGACAAAAGTTTGATGGGTTAAACAGGTTTTTGATGGGTTAGTCGCGAGTTTTATATTAAATTGGTTTGTTTTGAACCAAAAAACTTTTAGTTAATAAAAATTTGGGGGTATATTTTCTCATGTGACTATCAAAAAAAGGTCCAAAAATCAATTATAACTATATAAAAAAAGGCCCAAAAACCAAATTCGCTGATATAGTTAATTAGGTTTATTAATAACTAAAATATATTATTATTATGGGTGTGGTGACTTAGTGAAGTGGTGGAGTTGTCGCACCCCCAAACAGCAGGTCTAGAGTTCGAATCCCACGGATGACAATTTTGAAAAAACTAGATCTGTATCGGTTAACGTTAAGATTATCGGTTGGGTTCAGATATCTGTAATCTTGGTCACACCATCTTGAATGGGAGCTTTGGCGTAATAAATCCAGGAAACTGGAATTACTGAAAACCCGTTTGGCAAGTCCCAAGTTGGGAAGTAGCAGCGATCTTTGATGGTGCTACAGGAAGACTAAATTTAGAACTGGAAACTGAGACCAGAAAACTGAGCGACCAGGTCCTTAAGAAGGGGGGACACACCAGCCGAACCTCCGGGTCGCCAAACCGGAGGAAAAGGACATGTGCTCTGGAAGCATGTACCAAGAGAAGGGAGACCGTAAGGCACCTA